AAGTACAATCTCACAAGAACTAAAGTTGCGATTGGTTTGCTATTTTCAAGTTGTTTTCACTTTTCAATTTTGTAAAATGTTGAAAACATATTTGGTATGATATTTTCGGAAAACACATTTTCGAAAATAATGTTAAATTTATAACATAAAACTCAAAATACATTTTTGACATTTTGGATATTTTCAGTGTTAATTCTGAAAACACTCAAAATAGGAAAATAAGTGTTTAAATAAAATTTAAAAATATAGTCTTAAAGAATAAAATTAAAAAAAATTTGAAAAAATAAATTCTAAAATTCTAAAAAATGAAAATTCTGAAAAAAAAATTAAATTATAAAGATTTCTAGGAAAATAAAAAAATTTCAAACTCTTAATAATTATTACATAAAAATTATAAAAAATATTTAAATGAACACATTTAAAAATACTATATCCACTTCATTAATTTTTATTTTTATTTTCTATCTTTTGAACTCATTTTTTTTTTTTTTACTTTTGTATTGAGAAAAATATATTTAAGATTTACCAACTTTAAAATGTATATATTATTTGATAATATATTAATATAAAATTATTCTATTTTTACCGAATAATCAAATTTCATGGAACGAAATGTCGTAAAATACGTTTTCAAAATTTCATACCAAACGTGTTTTCCAGTTTTGTGTTTTGAGAAATAATTTTTTAAAATTAACAACCAGACGCTTTTTTAGCAATTTCAAAACAGAAAATTAAAAATGAACTTAAAACTGAAAACTGAAATACAAACTAAACTAGCTCTAAGTGTCTAATCTAGTTTTCAGTTGACTCGAATCTAATCAATAACACAAATAAGATGAGATTGATGATTTACACTAACAACACGAAATTATAACTAATGTAATTATCTAACTAAATTAACTTCTTGGGAAGCACTTATGAGTATTCAAGTAATAAACGAAGCACCAGGACCTCAAATATTCGTGTATACTTCCGTCTTAATATCATTCCAATAATTTGATAGCGTTTATTTGGAGTACTTAAATATGGATGTTTCTATTTTATTTAATAATCTTACCAAATAAAATTCAATACGTCCTGACATATGATCTGAAATATCTCCATCCCAAATGCGAACATATGAAGATGTATTAAATCACAAAAATATTCAATTGGGTCATCCAAAGCATAAATAATTATTCTTAAATTCTATAAAACCTTAAAATAATTGTTACCAAGCAATGAAGGTTTTGTTTTAGTCAAGTCAAGTAGGTCGAGTTGAATCGAATCGTGCTATCAGCTAACTTGAGTTAAAGAGTTTATCTCCTGGGTTCAAATGAGGGGAGTCCAGTAGAGTACTTGGTTTAGTACCTTTATAAAGCCAGTTGGGTAATTCTTTAAGTTTGTTTGGTGTAGTGGTTCAAGGTTGGTCCATTCTTTGCCACAGTTTGTCCAAGTTTTCTTGATCATTAATAATAATAGTTGAAATGCCTTATATTATAGATAAATGAATCTAATATTCATTCTGATCATTTTTATAAATATTTTCATGCTTTTAATTAATTTAAGGGAAAAATTCATGAATAAGGTGTTTAGTTTACACCAATACAAAAATCATGTTTATAGTTTGAAAATTCAAAAATCAAGTTTTTTTTTTTTTTTAAATTCTAATATAATATAATATAATATAATAAACCCACCCCACATGCACCACACCTACCACTC